CATATGTTCGGGTACCATTGCAGAGAATGAAGTTAAACTTAGCTGGCAGAAATAAAGTGACTGAAAATACACTGGTATCTCAAAGCACAAAAAAAAAAAAAAAAAAAAAAAAAAAGCTTTAGGATTTTAGTAAACATGGTCATTATAAACATGCAAACACAATATTTACGTATCTAATTGATGCTTGGTGTGATACAACAAGAAATGAGGTGCATTTAAGCAACCAAAGAGTTCCCTTTATATCAGAAAGCCTCCAATTTCCAGTGTTACTTGTATTGCTGCCTTCCTCTCTACCCATCCCCTCTGTGAAGACCATTACTTTATTTAATTCACTCCTTTTACCAGTTAATTCGACTTCAATCAAAAATGTGAAATCTGTGTTCATGTAGACTTTCTGTGATATTTTACTGAGCAAATGTATTAATGAGTGAGCTTCAAAAGATCTGTAGAAGTTCTTGCTTCATTAGGGTTTGTTGTAATATGTCATGATGACCTTAAATGCAGCCAGCTTTCCATCATCAAATCTAGTAATACATTATTAAAACTCTAGTGTAAATTATGGTGAGATATCCATTCAATTTTCTTGTAATTGGGAGAGGTTGAAAAACATAAATGAAGCTATAGAGAAGCCTCATTTTCCTCCCAGACAAATTATTTAAAGAAAAGGAAAGAATAAAACTGCAGTAAGATCATATTTCTGATCAAATTTGTTGAAGTAAAAATTAGATGGTAGCTTCCTGGTTTCCTCTATGGCCCATTTTGAATGGTAGCATTTGTAACCTTAATAAGTACAAGTATCAATTGCGAGCAGTCTTTTTTGCATCAAAATTCTAGGCACTTGGGAACAAGGTAAGTTTTGGAGATGAAACTAAACGAGCAATAAGATTAAGGATCAGATGTTTTCAAAAGAACTGAAAATACATGCTGTGATCTCAGAATTGCAGGTGTTGGAAGGGGCCTCAGGAGATCATAGAGTCCAACTCCCTGCTAAAGCAGGTAGCCTATAACAGTTTGTACAGGCAGGCGTCCAAATGGGTCTTGAATATCTGCATTGAAACAGACTCCACATCTCTCTGGGCAACTTATTCTAATGCTTTGTTGCCCTTACCATAAAGAAATTCTTCCACGTTAGTACAGAACTTTCTATGTTCAAGCTTTAGGCCGTTACTCCTTGTCCTATTGTTACACACCACCAAAAAGAGCCTGGCCTCATCCATTTGCCTCCCACTTCCATTTAGATATTTATAAATGCTGATCAAATCCCCTCTCAGTCTTCTCTTCCCTAGGCTGAACAGGCCCAAGTTACTCAGCCTTTTCTTATACAGGAGGTGGTCCTGCCCTTTATCATCTTTGTGGTCCTCTAGCGGACTCCTAGGAGATTCCTTTTTTTTTTTTGAACTGGGAAGACCAGAACTGGGCACAGTAGTCTGAATGTGACCTGACCAGGGCAGAGCAGAGGGACAGGATCACCTCTCTCAACCCCCCCATGTACTGGCCGTGCTTTTTCTAATGCATCCCAGGCCACCATGGTCCATCTTGGCCACAAGGGCACACTGCTGGCTCACGGCCAACGTATTCTCCACTAGGATCTCCAGGTCCTTCTCAGTAGAGCTCTGGTAGATCATTTCCTAATCTGTACTGGTGCATGTAACTATTTCTCCCCAAGTACAAGACTATGCTTGTTCTTTTTAAACCTCATCAAGTTCCTCTCTGCCCAGGTATCCAGTCTGTCCTGATCTTATTGAATGATAGTACAACCAATGCTAACTTAATTTATAAGTTTAGACTTTAAAAAAAAAAAAGTTACTTTTATTTTCAATGTGCTGTAGGTGTTATCACTCCAAAACAATAGATAAAGCACCAGGAAACAGATATTCAGTGATTTACTTGTATTGACTATTTTTTATATACTTTATTTTGTTTAAATACCACTGTCATTCTTTTTTCCACAAGATCTTGATGAGCTGGTTATGAATTATTTTCCTTTTAAATTTGTCATTTTAATTTGTTTCATTTAAATATATATCTGGCCTTCCTTTACATAGCTATGCAGTATCCATGAATAATAGAATTTAATAATTACTTTGCATCTTTCACTTAGTTTAGTGTGCTTTGTAGCCATAAACTTTAGTGAGAGAAAAATAATGTGATAGGTAATTGTCTTCCCTTAATAGACAAGCAGGAGTTGACTGAAAAACATTGACTTACAATCTGATGCAGTTTGTAGCATTGCTGAATTATAGTAAGGATCTAGACAAAGTGATTATGACTTTCTAAATGTGAGGCCTGAGGAAGAAAAACGAAATGCAACAAATATGAATGTGAAAGTAAATTCTTCTGGCTCCTTGTTTCCAAAAGCACACGAACATAAACCTGCTTTACTGTCATTTCTTTTTGTGAGGGATGCAGCTAAGTCCTGAACTGCTCAATATTTAAGGGGCACTAAAGATATGCAATGAAAGATATATTAAGGACAGGACAACTATGATTTTTCTTGAGTGCTACAGTTTCTGCCAATCAGACATTACCTGAGTTGCAGTTCCTTAACGTTTACAGATTTGTTCAAATTTGTTGATTTATGATTTTGACCCACATGATGTCTGTGGCAACAAATTACTTGAAATAGCTTTGTATTTTATCAAAAGTTAATAGTTATTTTTTTGTTTGCTTGTTTGTCAAGCCCATGATCATAGACTCATAGAATGGCTTGTGTTGGAAGGGGCCTTGAAGGTCATCTAGTTCCAACCCTGCTGCCATTGGCAAGGTTGCCACCTATTAGATCAGCCCATGGCCCATCCAACCTGGCCTTGAGCGCTGCCAGGGATGGAGCATCCACAGCTTCTCCGGGTGGCCTGTGCCAGTGCCTTAACACCTAACCTAAATTTATCTTCTTTTAGTTCAAAACTGTTTCCTCTTGTCCTGCCCGTATCTGCCTGTGTAAAAGGTCAGTCTCCCTTCTGTGTATAAGATCCTCTGTCAACATTTTATGGGCTGGTTCAGCCCAGTTCCATGACTAGCAGGGTGGAGGGATCCACACATCCGTGCCTTCAGAAAAGGGGAACAGGAGATCCCAAAATAATTACAAGCAGTGGCAATGATCTGAAGAGAAACAAACTAATTTACTAAATATAGTATCAGAATGCAAGGTAACACACTATAATATAATATAATTAGAATTGATGCTAATAAATCAAACATGAGAGAGTGTCTGGAAGGTGAAAAGGCCTCACCATTTATACTGAGGTGAGATGCACAGCCTGGTTGAGCAGCAGGGAGGAGAGCCTCATGAAGAAGAGCACATAAGGTGACCTTGCATTATCTCCTCTCTGACTGCAAAGCCCCCTGGGGTATGTACTTCTTCTCTTCCAGACACGTGCCCAGAACTGGAGCATTAACACCTTAACTCCCAGTGCACTACATGATGTTATGATGTGGAATACTGATAACCAAAATCATAAAAACCATGACGCTCCTCTCAAGTACTAGAATACCACAATAAGGTCTCCCCGGAGCCTTCTCTTCTTCAGACTAAACAGTCCTAGTTCCCTCAGCCCTTCTTCACAGGAGAGGCTCTACAGCCTCATCTCTGATCATCAAATCAGTTGATAGTGTCATTATTAGCTTTTATGCTACGAGCCATAGTCATTTCTTATTCGCATCTTCCTCTGCACATTTTACCCACGTTCTGTAGTCCTGATCTGTTTCTCACTCTTGTGATCCTTTCGATCATTCGCACTTTTGTTCTGTGTTTCACTGTACATTTTCAGAGACATGTTTGGAACTTTCAGAAGACTTTTAATGCCTTCATCTGCTTTATTTTCTCAGATGTTTTAAATCTCATTTTATCTAATACTGCTCCACTTGTATGGAAGCCTCTTTCTGTGAAAATGGAATGGTTGTCCTGCTCTTAAGGATTGCTTGTTTTACCCATTTCTTCTTCTAAGTCTTCACAATTAAGTATACTCTTTGCTGTTTGAAGTCTCTAGCAATCTGCAAAATAAAAGGTTAAGTCAGTGATCTAAATTTATATCTCCCAGGTGTCAGGGGAGAGCATTATTAACAAAGCACAAGGTTGACCTAGTAATGAGAAACTTGTGTGTGTTATCCCATAAGAAGCTTTTGCCCTGGAGTGTATTTGAATTTCAGCAAGCAGAATGTTTTTTTGCATTGAAGTGAATGAAAGTAGTGAGGGTCACATTTATTTTGTTTCATATTTTATTGTCTGGGAACAGGCTGAAAGGTGAGAAGGGCCCAATAAGTGAAAGTAAAAAGGCAAGAAGGCTTCACAGTAACTGAGAATAAGGGATGTGAAGGGGGATAGTTAGAGATAGTTCATAGAAGTAAGAATGTAGATCTTGTGAGAAAAATAAGGGATGGCAGACACTGGGTCTGGGACAGTGAGGGAGATGCAGGCCATACTGATAAGGTTTGAGAACAGCCCAGAGACATCTGGAAGGGAGGTGATGAGATATCCACAGGGCAAGAAGAAACCGGTTCTGGGGGGATGCCTCCCCCTTCCCCCCCCCCCCCCCCCCCCCAGAGAAAAGCATTACATATTTCTCATTTGAATTTAATGATTGATGATATAATGGATGAGTCTTCGTGATCAAAAACTATTTTTTTAATAGAATTCTTATTATGCCACACTCGTCCCAAATAAAAATAATAATAATAAAAGCAAAACATAAAATATAAAATTAGAGATGAAAATGCGTGATAAAAACTTTTGAACTTTATTGCATCTTCTAACAGTGGTCTGTAATAGTTTTTCACTACTGATAACATGCATATACTGGAACATCTTCCTCTTCTATTCTTTTAACTTGAATATTTGAAATTAAAATTTAATGCATGCAAATAAAATAGTTTGCTACACTGTTCAAAGGTGCTCAAAAGAAAAAAGAATGGATATTTTCAAATGTGTTTTGTTGGTTATATTGCATTTTATTACTTTATTTTGTAATGAACTAATGAAAATAGCTTTCTGTTATTCATTGCAGACGTAGCCCTGTTTTTTCCATCCTTCAATGGGAATTCTTATTTGGAACTTCCTTCTCTAACATCTGTATCTCAGATGAGGACTGCATCTGGGCAGGAAACAAGCAATCTGACAACTCTGTACTTGACAGTGAAAACAACTGCTCCAAGTGGCACTATTCTTTACAGTGAGTACCAATGACACTTGAAGCTAAGGATTAGCTATAGCTACTTTCGGTTCTTATAAACTTCAATGTAGATCAGCTGGCATGTTCTATTCAGCAGCAAAATTAGTCATTAAAATGCAGCAGAAGCCTATTGGTATTCTAATGCATGACACACTACAAAATTTGAACCACAGTTTTTTGTTTTTCTGGAAAGTTCTTTCATATATGACTCATTAAGCAAAGCGTAACTGATAACTGAAATGCTGCTTTCTGACAAGGAAGCATTTGATTTCAGTAATAAATGTCACAAATCTAAAATATAAATGAAGGCGTTTCTACCAATTCATTACAGAGGAACAACTTCTGTAATACTTGTATTGAAATCCATTTGTTATAATGATTTTAATTACAAAGTTTTTTGCATTGCAGAACTATCATAAGTTTTGCAAATTTTCCATATTTTTGTGATTTCATAATTCAGATTTTCAGGGTTTTTTTCGTGGTGTCCTGAGAGAATACTTGCAGACTTGGAAGTACGTATGCTAATATTACAAGTGTTGTTTCTTGCCAATGTATTTAATTCTTCAGAATATGATGTTAACTTCTGTCATAGCATGCTTTTCACTAGTTGGTTCCCCTATTAAATATTTCATTATATATTGTAGCTTGTAATTTCTATTCAAATGCAAAGTGTGGATGCTGAAGTGGTTCCTGAGTACAGGAAAAGCTAGAAAAAATATTTGTGAAGTCTTTCTCACAGATACCATATTTCTCTGCCAAGACAAATCAGCAGGAGTATTCTCTCTTCACTGAAGCTAGTTTGTCTGAAGAACAAATCATGTTGATATTTATTAATTTTTTTGTAGTTTTTATATTCACCTAGAAGTTATACATATGAAATCATCTGCACAATGTATTTATTTATAAGGCAGAGTTTAAGATAGTATAAACTTTATGGCATTATTTATTTATGCTTTTTATTATGATCTGTATAACATTCTCTTTAGATGTACAAAAAAAAAAATGTAGTTTCCAACTGAATTTTTATGTTTACTAAAGCTCAAAGTGCAGCCTCAAGTTGTTGCATGGTGATATAGCCAGGCTATTGATGTGTATGTGTAAGATATATGCCTGAAGAATTTGCTAATGGTCCTGGATAATTGATAACATAGCAGTTGTGGTTTTTTTAAGGGTTTTAAGTTAGTTTTTTCAATTTCAAGAGGCATGTAAGGAATTCAGTGGAAGTAATTTGAATATTTTCATCATTTAATGATTTTGTTTGCCTCATTACTGCAAAACTGCAAGGGAAAGTTAAAATAAAGGCATATAGACAGACTGAAAGGAGCAATCCTTGAGAGTAGCCCTGTGGAGAATGACCTGAGAGTCCTGGTGGATGAAAAACTTCACATGAGCCAGCAGTGTGCTCTTGCAGCTCGGAAAGCAAATGGTATCCTGGGCTCCATCAGAAGAGGGGTGGCCAGCAGGGACAGGGAGGTGATTGCCCTTGTGAGGCCCCATGTGGAGTACTGTGTCCAGGTCTGGAACCCCCAGTACAAGAAAGACAGGGAGCTGTTGGAGAGGGTCCAGAGGAGGGCCGCAAAGATGGTCAGAGGGCTGGTGAACCTGCCCTATGAAGACAGGTTTAGCATCTGGGCTTGTTCAGCCTGGGGAGGAGGCGGATGTGGGGTGACCTTATTGCAGCCTTCCAATACCTAAAGGGAGCCTACAGACAGGAGCAGGACAAGGGGAAATGGGTTTAAGTTGAAGGTGGGAAGATTTAGTTTGGATATCAGGGGGAAGTTCTTTACTACAAGAATGGTGAGGTGCTGGAACAGCTGCCCAGAGATGGTGTGGATGCTCTGTCCCTGGAGGCGTTTAAAGCCAGGCTGGATGGGGCCCTGGGCAACCTGATCTAGTATTAAATATAGTAACCCTGCCTGTGACTTGGGGGTTGGTGATCCCTGAGATTCCTTCCAACCCAGACCATTCTGTGATTCTGTGACAAAGCTTGTTAACTACACATGAACCTCAATTATAAGCATGTCTATTAAAATCCAATTTAGAAGTTTCTCTGCTAGTCTTTGGAGGAAGCAGGATTGTCTGAAAGCTTAAATAAATATACTGTGCTCCTATAAACAGTGCCCAGTTTGCTTCTATCACTACTTGAAAGTAGGAAATGTATGACGTTTGGGAGAGATGGTTGTTGGTGTAGCTTTTAAGCAAGACTTCCATTACTGAATGCTGTTTCCCTGGTTTAGTACACAAATATTTTAAGCATGCTAAATGTGCATGTTTAAATTCGCAACATCAGAATTTCCACAAAGTTGGAAACTGTTTCAGAATGTATGTTTTCCCTTTATTGAAAACTGACATAAGATGCTTGCTTCTCTGTTGCATTTCATATGAAATTTACATGAAGATGAACAGTACTTTTTGTATCCGTCCAGCTACACAAAGCAGAGCTTCAAAATAAACTGGTAAGCAGGTGTTCCACCTGCTATCATTTAAAACAAAATGCTGTGAAACATCTGAGTATGTTAAACTTGATAATTTGTTTGGAGATAACTGGTTTTTCTTTTAGATTTTTCCAATTGTCAGGTAAGAGCTAGCATGTCCTCGGAATTAATGGGCTCCCTTAGAGGAGGGCTGAGAGACAGGGTGTTATATTCTGCCTTCATGCTATGATTTAAATCTATGCGGGCTGTGGAATTTGTTTTGTTCTTTGTAGTATTTCAAATCATTTTTGAGAAATGTAAAAATTGTCACGTTTTGCATGCTTAATTCTGACCAGTCATTATGGTAAGATAGGTAATAAAATCTGCAAGTATTTCATTTACATCAAGTGTATTTGAGTATTTTGGCTAGATGCTACTTGAAAATTTAAATATACTGGTAACGTCGGTCAAAGCATACAAACTACTTCAGGACTATGTACTCGGAGTTTAGATACAACTGAAATGGTGCTGGGGAAAGAACAAAAGGTTTGGAGACCTTCTTTGTGTTTTGATAAGGGAGGCACCACAGTGAATATAGTTGATAGCTGTATTACACTCCTTAATTTCAGTCCTTGTATTCCAGTAAATCTCCTTCTACCACTGTTTTTATCCAAAGAAATATACTGAATTAACAAAAGTGAAGTTCTCTGGAAATTTTTTTTCTTGCAGCCATCTTAGGGAGTTAACATATGTTTCCCCTTCTTCTCAGCAGTCTCAGTGTTTGCTCATTTTACAATCTCTATATTCCTTTCTGCATTTCCAATCCTCTCATCTTTCACCTATTCCTGTCTAGCAGTCTGTTGAAACTTCTGCCACTGGACATCCTCAATATCTCTCCGAGGGAAGGAGCAGTCTTTCCTGTTTTGTATGTAGCACTAACCAAGAAACAAGCATGTCAAACTTAGAGTTTGTCACTCCAGAAGAATTATGTAGATATAGCCTTTATATGAAGTTTGGAAATATTATTCCCAAGAGATAAACACACAAAAATTTGGATGGTGTGGACTCTATGTTTTTTTTTTTCATTTGAGAAACTGCTATTTTTTTTTTTTTTAATCTTTTAAAACCATTTATGATGTTTTTTGTTAGCATTTACTCTGGTAAATATGTATAAGACTGATATTTTTTCATGGCTACCTTAAAATTATGTTTCCAAACATAGTATTCCATTTTGTTAGAATCTGTGACTATTCCTTAAAACATTCCAGCACGAAAAGTTAAATTAAAAAATAGAAGGCACGTTTTATTAATGTACAGAAGTTATATATGTTAAAATTGCATATTAACAATGCCATTTTTACTTATTTTCCTACATCCTTACAAAAATATTCCCTTGTTGCATCATGTACACAAGTGCATAAATTTTTCTCTGAAGTAGGTAGAACAATAAGTCATGAAGCTAAAGACAAAAGATTGCAGAGAAGAAGCGCCTTTAGGTATGTCTTTACTTCTTTTTTACTGGCCTCTCAAGTATCTATACTTGTCTATTTTTACTTGAGCATTGAAGTCCTTGAAGTTGCCTAGTGATTGCTGTTGTTTTTGTATAATATTGCTTATTAAAATATGCAGATTTGTATTACTCTGTCTGTCTGAAGACCTCATGAAGGAAAACACGGAAGGTAAAGCCTACCATCCTTGTCACATTAATGGAGATTCTAGAGCATATTTCATCTTATCTAAGCAAAGATGTCTAAAATTGCACACATTAATTCCCTCAGAAAGTTTTCTTGAGTTACTGGTAATTGAAATTACATAGACTAACTGCCTAAGAAAGAAATGTGATCAAAGATTTTTAAAGCTGTTTAGTCCTGACTGAAAGTTTTGAACTCCACCTACTGTAATCTATAATGTGATATACTTCCAACTATATATATATACCATAAAGTTACATTGGAGAAAACAGAAATAATTAATTTCTGCCTTGTAAAAGAATTAAGCCATTCAAAACCCATGTTTATTTGAATTATATCTTCTTAATGCTCTTTATGTAGGATGATTTTTATCTTAGCTTATTTCAAACTGATTGCACAAGACTATTATAGTTCAATTCCATTTTTAGTTTATAGAAGACTTTAATCAGAATTCTCATATTTTTCCTCCATGGAATTCCTCCTAGCTAGAGGGCACCATTTTTCAGCATCTACAGAGACTCTTTTTTCCCTTAAGAAAAAAAGACCTTTTTTTGAAGGCCCTCTTTTCGCTTACCTCCTTTGGCTCAGTATGTGAATGTGTTAAAATACTTTTTGAAGTGTTTCCCTTTTCTAAGATATCACTTTCCTTTTCTTACTAACATACTTTCCTCTCCACTTCCACAGAAATCTGAAGTGTTTGCAATCCAGTTTAACTTTCCAGATTCTTGCAAAAAAAAATTGAAATTAAAAAGGGTTTTAACTTCAGACAGTTGAAATGTTTTGTCTAACAATGTGACATGAATTATTAGTCTTAAGATAGAAGATGTTCTCCTTTCAAATGCTGTACTCATCATGAGTCTAACCAAATAGGTATTCAGCTGTCAGTTCCTGCTTT